AAGGATTGTGATCTCTCATAAAACCCACAGATGCATATCCCTTTCTTCTCATCTGTGTGGGGACAAATGACTCAGCTGAGAACTATGAAGATATTACATCAGACTTTGAAGCTCTGGGAAGGAAACTCAAGGACTTGAGTCTTCTCCATCCTCCAGTACACAGAAGAGGAATAGAAAGGGAAAGGAAAATATTATGGGTGAAGCTGGTGCTGGCATGAGAGATCTGGATTTTGGGTACATGGGTGACTTTTTTGCTTCATAGTTCAGTTTGTGCTCATCTCTATCCACCAGGATGTATCTTTGTGAGTGACAGTGACTTTCTCTGCAAAATAGTTTTGTTCATGAAATACTGATTTGCCTTGTTTTCTTCACTGGTCTCTATTGAGGTCCAAAGCACCACTGCAGTTTTCTTTGTGCACATTATTGTACACAATTTTATTAAACATGTTTAATGGGTTATATATTTTGCAATTAAGGCCACAAGTGGCCATGGAAGAAGGGACCCAGAAGCACCAAGTTTTCTACACTGCAGCCTGGCATCTCTAACCAGCTGAAAGCATTGCTGTCCTTCACACAGGAGATGTTTAATTATCCCTGGGGAAGTGTCCAGACAGCAGAGGATCAAATTAGGTATATTTCTCCCCACAGCACTTCCCACCACCTCTTCCATTATCTCTGCCCTCTCCCCCACTGGCCTCCTTTATTTGTTCAGTTTACAAAGTGACCTAGACCTGAACTGGATGCTATGTCTAACAGCTTGAGCTGTTTTCAGTCTCCTCAGATCATTCTGTATACAGTGGACCCTTGACTTACAGACAGCTTGACTTACAGACTTTTTGAGTTACAGACTTCTCTGGCCGCAAAATTTAGGTTTGACTTGCAGACTGACATTTGACTTACAGACCAGAAAAAACCAAAATGGAACAAAAATGGCCTGTTACGGGATTAATCGGTTTTCAATGCACTGTAGGTCAATGGAGACTTGACTTACAGACTTTTTGACTTGAGAACCGCCTTCCAATATGGATTAAGTTCTCAAGTCAAGACCCCACTGTATATGTGTGTGTATGTGTTTTGCTGTCTTCCAAAAGAGACACACGGAGGGAGGGAGGGAGAGAGAGAGAGAGAGAGAGAGAGAGAGAGAGAGAGAGAGAGAGAAGCATGGCCTAAGAATTGATCCAAAAGCAATGCTCCAGAGCTGTGAGAAACCAGCTCAGCTTTGGATGCTGAGTGGTATGCTCTGGGTGGGTGACAATAAAATGCACTAGAGGCACAAACAAGGCAGTGGGCACACTGGACAGTAGGTAACAGGACCTCACTACCTCATTCATGTTTCCAACACACGTTCCAGCAGTCTGGGATGCAAGCAGCTTTTCCTTCTTCCTGTAGAGTATTGGAAAGAGCTGCTGAGGAAAGTCAAGATAACCAAAGAAAATTCAGAAGATAAAAGCACAGGCAGCGGTGCAGGTGGAGTCTCCTTCAGTTCAGAACACTTGTTGGCAAAAATACCTCTGCCGGCCTACAAATTAAGGTGAGACATAAGTGGTCTCCTCAGCTCTGAAATGAAAAGACACGGCTACTCTGAGTTGCCACTGGAAGAGGAGGGCATTAAGGATGATTGGGGGTTAAAAACCAAGGAAAGACTGAAAGAACTGGGCATGTTTAGCCTTGAGAAGAGCAAACTGAGGGGAGAGATAATAGCATTTTTCAAATATTTGAAAACTATTCATATAGACGGGCAAGATCTGTTCTCTATCATCTCAGAGAGCAAGATACAGGATAATGGGCACAAGCTAAAGTAAGCCAGTTTCTGGCTGAATATCAGGGAAAATGTCACAGCTATTACAGTAGTACAGCAATGGAACCAATTACCTCAAGAGGTGGAGACTGAGCCAGTGCTGGAGGCATTCAAGAGAAAATTGGACAGTCATCTGTCAGATCTGCTTTGATTTGGATTCCTGCACTGAGCAAGGGGTTGGACGCGATGGCTGTATCAGACCCCTTCCAACTCGATTATTCTATGACTCTATGAAGTAGAGATATACTAATAATATTTTTTAAAATATTATTTACAGATGTGTCAACCCTAGGAATATTAGCCTGAAGGAAATAATGCCAAATAATCACACTTGCCCCACTGAAGATGTCTCCCTTAATGTGATCAGGATAGCTCACCCCTCAACTGCTCCAAAGGACTGATATAGGCAATCATGCAATCGTACAGTCCACAAAGCAAAACCAAGCAACATGAGTGGCTATACTACCCACCCACCCCACCCCCTGCAAAAACAAACAAAAAATAAACAAGCTTAACAAAATATACTGAATATCAATGCAAAAAGACTAGATTAACTCAAGATTAGGTTTATGTGATATAATTCATGGGGGGGGAATCAAAATTAACACTGAGAACCGCAGCATCAATGGCATCTATCAAGTCACATTCAAAGTATTATTTAGAGAGGTAGACATCTTTACAAAGCTGAAATGTTTCGTTCTGTAACAGCAAAAAGTATCACCACTACCAGTAGTGTATATGTCCCACTACAGTGGGGTCTCTACTTAAGAACTTAATCCATATTGGAAGGTGGTTCTCAAGTTGAAAAGTTCTTATGTTGAATCTGCATTTCCCGTAGGAATGCATTGAAAACCATTTAATCCGTATCTGCTCTTTTCCGTCCATAGAAACTACAGTGGAACCTCTACTTAAGAACTTAATCCGTTTTGGAATGGTGTTCTTAAGTTGAAACGTTCTTAAGTTGAATCTGCATTTCCCATAGGAATGCATTGAAAACCATTTAATCCGTTCTGGCTGTTTTTTGTTATGTAGAGGTGCGTTCGTACATTGAAGCATTAGTTCCCATAGGAACTAATGCAAAGCTGGTTAATATGTACTCTACCACTAGGGGGAGATTTTTTTTTTAACCTAAGATGACCTAAGGTTAAAAAAAGAGCAGGAAAGGATTTTTTTCCTGTTCTTATCTTGGATTTCTGTTCTCAAGTAGAAGCAAAATTTAGCAAATGGAGCTGTTCTTAAGTTGGATTGTTCTTAAGTAGGGACGTTCTTAAGTAGAGACCCCACTGTATTTGAAACTGTGCAGTCAGCAACAACATGGTCTCAAGAGCCAACAATACTGTTTAAATTCTGACAAAAACTATGGCTGGAGGACATATATTCTACAAAGTTTTTTCCTGCTTTTTTGTCTGTATAATGGGATGCAGGATACATTTTAGTCTAAAGTCTTCAAAACTTCCAGTGTTCTTGAGCCATACAACTCCTCTTTAACATTAATCCACATGGATTAAAATAATTTTTTTTTCTGAACTTCATGGGAATTCCAGTGTATTGAGGGTCATCAAGAGGGCAAGAGTTAGGGTTAGAATTGAATTAACACTTTTTCCATTTCTTTTCACATTTTTAAAATTTTTATATAAAAATTATTAATTTTTTCAAACAGAAAAGCACAACCAAAATGAAGAGAAATAATAGAGAAAAACCTTTAAAAAGATAAATACAAAAAAACCCAAGCAGACAAACATTTCTCGAATTTCTTAAATCCAACAGAATTCCAATGACCCTCAATGCTGAACGCCAACTGAATTATAACCAGAGCACATCACTTCTGCTACCCATCATCATGGTTCATTGAAAAATAACATGGAAGCCCCTTTTTACATGTATGCATAGCTTCCAAAGCATCGGCTGAGACAAAAAAGTACCCAGGGGTAAAAATTTGTAGGGAAAACTTTTGTGTGAGACTCAAGGCGAGGCTATAGAAGCGCTCGCCGGGGTGTCGTCCTCCTTTAAGAAAAGGAGACCCAAACGGAATCTACAGCTCCCCGTGTTGCGGTCAGGCACCAGGGAATAGACACCTGTGACTTGGAACAGGGTTTGATGAGACTGTCGGTGGCCACTCAGACAGGACTAGAAAAGGCAGGAACAAGGGTGAAGGAGCAACTGTTGGCAGAGGCAGGACATGGGGATCTAAAAGGGGAATGAGACAACATACCGGGGATTGGGAATTAATATGGGTAGAGGATCCTTGGACAAGGAGATGTGAAAAAGTAAGAGTGCCTCGAGAGGAGGCTGATTACAGGCGAAGAAGGGGTTTGCCTCCTAAACCGTCTTATTGGGGGGAATCCGAAGCCAGAGAGTGGCAGAGATGCTTGAGGGAAGAGAAGGAAGTGGTGGAGATTGGGGGGAATCCAAAGCCAGAGAGTGGCAGAGATGCCACTCTCTGGCCATGCGTCTGGAGAGCATGGCGTCTGGAGGAGGCTCGCCGGAGGAGGTATTTACCAGACCTTGGGACCCCTATGCAGAGGGAACCGACCTCTCCGATCATGAGAGGGGAGATGAAGAGACATTACCCCTGATTGAGGTGGACATTGACACTAAGGACCAGGGTGAGACTAATCCTTTCTCTAAAGGACCCTGGTATGATCCAAGTTACAACCGCTTTTTTACAAGATTTATGGACACCCTCGTTTGACCCGTTGGCGACGAGAGAAAAGAACAATGACAAGTTTAATGTTGATACTTCTTTATTTGATGTTCCAATAAACCCTAGCTCGGTTTTCCAAAAAACTGAGCATCCCGTATTTGTGCCCAATCAGCCTGAGGTTAATCTTGAACCGTCACATTTTGCCCCAGGTGTTTTTTGTCTGCTTTTTTTTAAAAAAATACTATACATGACTGGCAGCTGAAATTTGGAGGAAGCATTAAAGGACAACGTTGCAAAATGGCTACATTGTAGACATTGTAAGGCGTGAATTCTACCTGCCCCCCAAGACTCTGGGAGACTAGAAGAACATTTCTATGTATATGATGGTCAAAGGCACACTCACAATCAACCCTGGCTACATTAAAAAGAAGTACCTGCTGTTCTTCAGAAGTCTCGACAATCTGTTCACTCCACTGATCGCTGAAAACATTAAATTCCTTTAGTTAAGCATATAGTAAAAGTTATTATCTATTTTAAAAAAATAGGAAATGTACATACCCTTTTTGGCTTGTTGGTCATCACAGCTTTCAAATGTACATGGCCCCCAGGCTGACCAAGCTGATACCTCACACTCTATGGGACATGGGATATGACACAATTGAGTTGTGCTAGGAGTAGGGCCTGTGCACAGTTTCCAGTCCACGGGTTTGGATGCTGAGGGATGGAGAGAGAGATTAAAATATATATATATATAATCATAAAACTATTGAGCTAGAAAGGACCTCAAGGCTGATCAAGTCCAACCATCTGCTAAAGCAGGAAATTGACAGCTAAAGCACCTCTTGACAGGTGGCCATGTCACTTGTTTAAAAACACTGATCAAGGAAGGTCCTCCACTCCCTGACACAGTCCATTCCACTGTAGTCATATTTCATTGGTTTTCACAGAATGAAGCTTTGCTGAAACTCTTTGTCATCGTACATCACTAAGAGCCAAGGATTTTGGCAAGTCTTTAGGTCCACGTCCCAAGTTTGAGTCCAAGTCTTTGATACGAAGCCCCAAGTCCAAGTCCCTATTAAAAACAAGGGGTTTTTTTTGCCCAGAAAAAAAAGAAGGATGGGTGAGTTCTGAGTATCAAGTTGAGTCTGAGTCATTGAAAAAAAAATCTCGACTTGAGTCCAAGTTGGGTCACTTTAAATCCAACTTGACAGCAAGTCCCACAACTTGAGTCCCCATCTCTGCGATGTGCCTTCTTGCCCAAAGTCAGCCTAAAATGTTTTACTGCCTGAGGCAAGCACCAAGCTGGTTCTCACTTCCATTTCAGGTACAAATGATCACAAGACTGACAATTGACTCCTTCTTCAAAACACTGGTAGTGGGACAGTATCTTCTACTCTGCCTGAAGGCAGCAACCTAGCTTAGGGCATGCAATGGGAAGTCATGTACAGTTTTCTCTTTCAGCAACTTGCAACCAACTCTCAACTGGTGTTGCTTGAAGCAACCACTCCACACTGCCTAACAGTAGGGCTCGCCTGCTTGAATCTGATATTATAGGAAGGGAAACAACTGCCTTAACAGATAAGGGAGGAATCAAACTGTAACAGCAAATGCACATCTGATAACAGGAACTACCTGAATAAAGACAGGATTTTCACCTGCAACACAACTCCTTTGCTCTAGGAACCAAAGAACAACCACTTGAAAGTGTTCCCTTGCCTCCTGAATTCGGGTTTTTAAATAGTAGGAAGCGTTGAGTAAGAATAGTTTCTAGGGTGCAAGAAATAAAGCACAGCAGTCATTGGTCTCAGTGCACTACTAAATGTAGTCACAAAAGAATATGAGACAGGAACTCCTAATTTATCCACATTGGTCCATCAGTACTGAAGTGTAATTATTATGCCTTTTTTATCATTCTTTTTAACACTTTGAACTTTTAGAAGTGAAAGTCTACAGGTTGAGAAGCAGCAGGGTTTTGTTAACCTGTATGTGCTCTATACAGCTGGCATAGCTCTCTCAAAAGGAGAGTGAATCCCTAGACTTGTTTCATGGTAACTGCAAGTTTAAGGCCTCAATTACATACCTGTTATTTCAAATGTGATGGATAGAAGTGGTGCAGCACTAGCCTTCGATGTGCTCTGTGACTGACTTTCTGAAATAACACGGATAAAGACTGCCATGAATACAAAAGAACGGAAGGTTCTAATTCAGCTGAAAATGGGATTAGCTGCTTTGAAAATAGAGTTTATGCTGTGAGGATGGGATTCCTGGTGGCTGTGGTGGTAGGTTTTCCTTTCTTATTATTGCCACTCCCCAATTTTTCCGCCACCTATTTACAGACGTACCATTTCTCCTTCTCATAATCCATATGAATCCTACTATAACTCTATCATGTGATGGCTTCGTGCTCCCAACATATTTGTAAAATGCAGTCTTTCTCTTTTTATTACTTGAAGCACTAGGGAAATAAAGTGTTCCTCTGTGAATGCGTCCAATAATTGGTTATATTTCAGTCTGCTTCTTGGTGTCTAGAGAGATTAAATGCCCAATAGGCTTGACTTTAACTATCACACTTGGGGGAGGGGGAAGCATAGGCTGCTCAAATCCTATTTCACTTGGCTACTATGAAGTTATGCATGCGGAATTTCATAGGGAGTTTTATATATACATATAAAGACAACACAAATTATTGCAATTCTGATTCCCCAATAGATTTTACTTATTTGGATAAGAGTTATTGTCATCTGTTTTAGTGGCACAAACGTTTCCATTATTCCCAGTCAATGAGCAAAGGTTTTAGGTTCTTAAGCGTTCTGGCAAACCTCTTACTGCATAAATACAAAGCAGAAGGGAAATCATATAAACATATCTTCCGCTGCTCTGGCAGGCTTCCTATCACACAACCCATTGCATGGCCAGTCTCAATAGCAGTGCAAGAAGAGGCACAGGACCTGAGGCTGCTGGAGTAGAGGCACACTTCCTTGATTATCTTTCAGCTCCACATCTGGGCAACAGGATAGGTGGACTATGTGTTAATCAAATTATGTAATTCCTTCATTATTGGATAGACCATATGCATCACACATGGCTGATTTAGCAAGAACCACACTTCTTTGTTCCATATAACTAGATTGAAATTGGCAGTCAGCCAATTGTCTTCCCAAGTTATGCTTCTGTGCATCACACATAATTTTCTAATCAATTATGTACATTAAAGTAAAACAAGTCAAGAACACCTCTGTTCCTGGAGTATGTAGCTGCATATTTATTTTTGTTAAGATCAATAGGAGCAGCCTAATGCTGGAACATACTGCAGGTTTTTTAGGTCATTCTGAAGTGTGGGCTAGAGAAATTTACTACTATCTGTGTTTTGTTAATCATTTTAATGTCAGGATGTACCGTTGTATTAGATCATATGATTACTTCACTTGCACTGTTTCAAAACTGCGGAAACATTCTCTCTCCATATTGAAATTTATGGGACCTGTTGGTGCCAGACTTACAACCAGGCAGAGCGAGGCAATTGCCTCAGGCAGCAGTTGCCCGTGGGCAGCTGCATCCCACACCATTGCTCCAGAGTCCTCTGGCCATTTCCATTTCTTGAAAGACAGGGCTGACTGTGCCACATAGCCTGCCCTGCACTCCCTAAACTAGCCTGCTGCCCTCAGGTGTCATGGAGGACCCTACACCACTGCCAGTGCTGAAGTAACACTCAACTGCCAGTCCAGTCTGGTTCTGTACTTGGAGCACAGGAGGACAGGAGAATTCTCATTTCGTATTTTCTGACAGGTGACAAAATGTTTTGAGTCAGTTGTGGAATTACTGCATAAGGACAAGTTGTCAAGGGTCTGTGGTCATTTTACATTTCTCATCTCAATAACAATGTAAGACCTGTTTGGAAACCACGTGGGGTTTTAAATATAGTGGGGATGTACAGATAAAAGTAAGTTCCACTCCCAACATCCCTCCCTCTCCAGAAGTCAACCAGACCTTTCTGCATGTAATGTGAAGATCTGAAGAGGTGCTGGATAGCTCCGTGGTTTAGATCTCTAGCTGTGGAGCCAGAAGCTGAGAGTCCAATTCCCTCCTGTGCCTCCTTGACAGGGGCTGGACTCAATGATCCACAGGGTTTCTTTCAGCTCTGCAGCTGTTTGTTTATTATTATTCAAAAACTCCAGGCACAATCAATCAAAATTATAAAAACATTGACTGGTATTATATAACAGATACAAGTTTTAACCAAAACTTAAGTATCTGTTAAATAATGACACACAACGTATGCTGGTCCTGATACTGTAGCTCAGATGGTGTGATTTCTGAGATCTGCAACTGCTTATAGTACTGCGTGAAATTTCTTGATATTGTTCCCAAAGCCCCAATGACTACAGGGACCACTAAAGTGTGCTTCTTCTAGTGGTGAAATGTTTCAATTGCCAGGCCTCTGTACTTTGTTAGTTTTTCCAGTTCTTTATTTTCAACTATTTTTATTATTTTTATTATACTTATTATTATACTTATACTTATACTTGTTGTTGTTGTTGTTGTTGCTGCTGCTGCAATTAACTCCACAACTAACCATGCATTTGATCACACAATCAACTGTGCACAGACTGGGCAGTGCCACACAACCAGCTGTCCAATTGACCACACAACTGTGTCTGGAGAACTGGGTTCTGAATGAGACCTCTTGCCTTGGTGCAAATTTTACAATGGCTTGTGCAACTTTAAGTTACATAGGCATAACTATGCAACAGGATTTCAGCCATGTGCACAGGTCCAGTTGATTTTGGGGGAGGGGGCATTAGGTATGTGTTTTAAGTACATACCCTGTCCTCACCAGGCTTAAAACCCTACATGGTTCTAGGGTCTAGACGACTTTTCAAGTATTTGAAGATAAATTGAAATACAGCATTGCATCTGACTGCAACAAGTGTAACCAGACAACATATTTTCACTACATTTGATGTCAACAGGCTAACTTGGGGATATGAGCCAAGCCACATGGTAAACATAGTCCTCCATCACCCTGTTGCCACACCCAGCCCACCTATTTTCACCAAATGGTAGAGCCATCTTTTTTTAAAAAAAAAACCCTTGGACATAACATGTCTCTCCATGGCAGTTTCATCACGTATAGTAAAATTTAGATGCAACCTAAACTGTGGATGGCATAAAAAGAGCGAGAAGAGAATCAAATGTGTTAATCTGAGAGCATGATACATGGGAAGAAAAGGGTGGCATTTGAGAGTTTTAGGTTATACAGTAAAAGACTGAATGGATGGAATTAACAAGAAAACTGAAAACTATGTACACCAATTGAAATGGAAAAGCATTTTCCTCACAAAAATTTAAAAGAATTAGGAGCATTCAAAGCTGCAGTGCATCAGGCAGTGATATAAATCATGATACCATTGATCCCAGTGACATCTGGAATTTGAAACTTTTGTTCCATGATGCCCCACAGATCCACTGGATACCAAAACTTTATTCATGGTTACATTGCTTGAGACCAAACAAATAAGAGAGCCCAATGGCAGAGCGCATGGTTGTTCGGTTTAATTTTCCATGCTTAGATCTCAGCATCTCTGGCTCAAAGATCCCAGGTGGCAGGTGCTGAGAGCAACGTCTGCTCTGGGCAGCTCTCTCTGTCTCTCTCTCTCTCACATACACACACACAAAGCAGGTGACTATTAAGCACTGAGTCATGAAACCTTAAATTCCTGCTGAGAAATCACCCCTGATTCCAAGATAATAGTACTGTTGGTTCACATCAGCACAGCACTTTCAACTGTCCAAAGTTCTTCAATGCATTATCTAGTTTAAATCCTTATAATAACCAGGAGATAAGTCATTATCCTGCATTTTGTAGATGGACAACTGAGACTGGCAAAGTGGTTTGCCTAAGGCCAACATGGAGAGCTCATGGCAGAGTTGAGATATAAACAAAGGACTTACTGAATGGTATCTCATTTTCTTTGTCACATCATGTTTCCATGAATGCCACAAAAATGAGAAACATACTACATAGTCAAAAAGCAGAAGGTTTAGCTTTAATAATAATGCAAGTCACTGATTCATAACATACCTTCTTTTTCCTTGAGAGTATTCAAATAGGAGAGGAGATTTTCATTAGCGTGGACACAATATACCTCCCGGGTCTGGATGCCGCCTCCACAGAGGGCAGTTTGATTCCCTCGCCGTTTGTCCTGCTGGCTAAGCAAAGGGTCAATGCGACACTCTGTCCACTCTGTGGTTCTCCAGCCATATCTGAAGCAATAAATAAATAAATACATAAATACATAAATACATACATACATACATACATACATAAATAAATAAATAAATAAATAAATAAATAAATAAATAAATAAATTGTCAGCTGACAAACTAGCTGCTTAAACACACAATGAAATTATTTGATTTGACATCAGAACCAACATCACCTAATGTTTCTTGCCTTGGTCATATTCTGAAGACAAACAATACAATGAAAACAAAGATATTCAAGAGCAGTCTGCACTGAAAATATTAGAAGTTACATGGGGACAAATTAGGAACTTGCAGGGCTACCATTGCCATTAGGCAGACTGGGACAACAGCCTCAAGCACCAGATATATGTTTCATGACAGGGCAGGTAGTTGTTACCCAATGTATTGTTACTGTATTTTCACTACCAGGAATAGACATGGTGCCTCTCTTAACGATGAAATCGCTGTAGAGTGAAAACGTCGTAAAGCGAAATAAAAAAGCCCACTGAAATGCATTGAAAACCCCTCAATGCATTCCAATGGGCTGAAAACTCACCATCCAGCAAAGATCCTCCATAGAGGCGGCCATTTTCGCTGCCTGTAAAGCGAGGAATTTGAAGCAGCTATGTTTCTTGCCTTGGTCATATTCTGAAGATAAACAATACAATGAAAATAAAGATATTCAAGAGCAGTTATTCAAGTGAGGAATCCGTCCAAAAACACAGCGGGGAGTATTTTAAGCATTTTGAAACCCAACTATCAGCTGTTTTGATCGTTGTAAAGCGAAAATCGGTTCCCAAAGCAGGGAACCAATCATCGTTAAATGAAAAAAAAAACATTTAAAACATCGTTTTGTGATTGCAGAAGCGATTGCAAAAACCTAATCATCAAGCGATTTCGTCATAGAGTGGGGCAATCGTTAAGTGAGGCACCACTGTATTCCTGGAGATACAAATACCACAGGTGCCATGGAGGTCTATTCCCTCCCACACAGAACTGGCTGGTCCACTCACGAGTCGCCGCACGGTGCGCACATCCCTCGTTGTCAACATCATGCTAAACACGGAAGTAGCCCGGCCAGCGCTTCCCCACCTCCCTGGACAACTGACCGCTCAACAGCTGAATAGGGAGACTCTTCAGCCTGCCTCCTTGCCAGAGTGGTTGGCTGTGCAGAGAAGTGGGGAAGTGCTGGCCAAGCTACTTCCACAACTGATGCAATGTTGATGATGGGTTGGCTGTGCAGAGAGGTGGGGAAGTGCTAGCCAAGCTAGTTCCACAATTGGCGCAATGTTGATGATAATAGACGTGCATGCCATGTGGCAACCAGTGCGATTTTTCTGCAAAATGTAGGAAAAAAACTTGGTTGGCTTTGGGTATCATGCATTTTGATTCCAAAGTGGGGATAATGAGAATTTTGTTATTTTATCAAATGTCTTGAGTCAACCCTGTCCTGTTCATATAGAATATCAACATTTGTTTTATATAACTACACTTTCTATCTTTAAACACTTCAGTTCAAAGACTGTATTATTATTAAATACTTCTCCCCTAAACATCCTCCCTCTGTCTCTCCTCCTTCTTTTGTTTTGTCAAAATGATGGATGGCTCTCTGGGAAACATGATGGTTTCTCTGGGTTGGTATGCCCCTTCTGATTAGCAGTGATGAACGCTGAGAAGCTGTGAGCTTCCCAGTCAAGCCATTACACAGAGAAACAAGATCTGTAACACTAAGTTAAAATATCAGTCAATTGTACAAATGTCCCAAGACATTCCATTCGACAAATCCTTTCAGAGGGCATCAATGGAATACTACAGGCCATAGGAGAAGGAGAATAATGGGGTTCTTTTCCTCTGACTCTCAAGAAAAAGCTACCAGAATTAAAGACATGCATATCAAAATATTTGAAAAAAACAGTGTCTTTGAAGCTGCTATCCCTAGCCATACTTACCTGAGACTTAGTCCTATTGAATACAATGGGACTTACTTCTGTATAGATGCACAGAATTTCAGTGGATTTCAGTGGATTGTTAGTTTCATCCCACAGCAATTCAGATAAAAAGAAGCAAAAAAGATGGGAAAGTCCAGGCAGTTCCTTATATTGATGTAATCATATTTAATCTTAATTAGGAGTTGGAATTTAAAGAAATCCCTTGGATCTAAATATCCAGCTCCCACTTAATGTGTGTTCTAAGCAGGGTTGGTTTATTTATTGCTATGATTAGATTCCACAACCCCCACTGACCAGTTGCTGAAGGTACCAAGATGCATAAGGAATATTTATCAGCCTTGCCTATAGATCAGGCTCTTTCATCCCTCGGTGCACAGGGTACATCAAAGCCTGAGATTTTCTGCGGGAAATACTGCCCTTGTTTAACAAGCACACTGGTACACTCCCAAAAGAGATCTGTATCACCCATGAGTTGACAAGGAGATCAGCTTGCAAAGACTTTGAGAACAAGGCAGAGATCTTCCCCAATATAAAACAATCAGGATTTCATTCTTGTTAGGTAGGACATATTTAGTCCCTGAAGCTAGTTACCATTGGCATCCAATAGGATAAAAACTAGCTGTTGATTCTCATTTGTGAGCCTTCTCTTACTGTTGGGTGAGCTGCTGTGATATGAGCAAGCAGATATCATCCTCATGTTCTTCTTCCCAACAGCTGTATGAGAGACACAATGCTGAGTACTCTGGACTGATTTCATCTAGGATAGTGGTTCCCAACCTAGTATGACCCACACATTCTTAGACTGCAAGTCTCAGAAGCCCCAGCCAGCACAGCCAGTGGTGAAGGCTTCTGGGAGTGGCAGTCCAGGAATACTGGGAATCCAGTCATCTAGAGCAGTGGTCCCCAACCTTGGGCCTCCAGATGTTTTTAGACTTCAACTCCCAGAAATCCTGGCTAGCAGAGGTGGTGGTGAAGGCTTCTGGGAGTTGCAGTCCAAGAACATCTGGAGGCCCAAGGACGGGGTCCACTGATCTAGAGTATGTGGTGTTGTATTTTAGATGCCTGCATAATGATAATGTCATGGTAGTCCAATTCCATTCAAAAATATAACCACTGCTAACAAACCCGTTCTTTCCCCATTATTGCTAACATACGACACCTGGATCTGCCCTTTGAATGCTTGTACTCGCAAAGGCTACTCATATATAATGACAGAATATTTGGTGTCCTCAAAAACAATAGTGATAATCATGAGATTCTCTTTTCTGTCAGATTGTGCGGCAGAAAACAAGTGACACACAAAGGGATCCATTTTTTCTTTAGAAGACAATAGATAAATGGGGAGGGGGAGTGTGAATGCCTTCTTGGTAGCAGCTCACTCAATTTTATGGCATTTACTGAGTTATATGACAGTGTCTCAAGATGCATTCTGGGGAAAAATGGTAGCAGGAGCATTTCTCAAACTGCTGCCAAGCCAGCCAGTGGTTTTAATAGAGAGGAAGAGAAAGAAAAATGGTACCAAGGCAGAAGAGACTGCTCTGGACCTCAAAGCAAGCTGGATCATTTTTTTTCCTCCCCAAAGTTATTGGAATGCACTTGTAAAGGGGTCACTGTTTTCAATAATGGGTGATTTCACTGTTTATTTCTCTCTCTCTGACTCCCTCCTTGCCAACATCTATATATTCATACATCTATCTGACCATCCATCCTATTAATTTAGCTTCTCTCATCCTAAATAAATGATATCAGATGGCTCAGATAAGCTGTTTATTCTGTATTAAACTCTTAAAATTGTCCCAATAGAAATTTTAAAAAATATATATTTCCTAATAAATACCACCCAAATTAAGGCCTGGTAAAAGTTGTTTTCATGACACAGAAGCTGCAATACTACTATGTCCTGCAGCACTTGGTAATATAAACAGCTAAGAATTATGTGGGAGGAATTCAAGCAAGGTTTCTCCTCCCATTATTTATTTATTTGAAAAACAGCCTTGGGCGACTCACATTACTCTGATACACAGGAAGGAGGGGCAATGTAGCAACTCTTGTACAGACAGAATAACATGACCCTGTAAAATGGCAGAGATTTACAGACAGACTGATACTTACGTGATACATGGAGCTACCCCATCTCCTTGAGATACACACTGCTCAGCTTCTTCCAGCTCTGGACACTCGTTTTCACTGCCAATAGGAAACTGCTTTATGGCCCGCGTTCTTGTACGATTTCCTTTAGGGGATGTCAGATCAAAACAGGCTTTGGAACATGGGCTCCAGTCAGACCATTCTGACACTTGGCAGTCCTTAGTAATCACACAAGACTGGTAGGTGATTGGCAACTTCTCTTGCTGACAAAAGCTGTAAAAGAGCATTGAAATACTCAGCAAATGGGTTCATTTGTGAATAAATACAAGTTTTATTAAACCCATTACACCATAATTTTCAAAACATTATTGAAATACCAGTATTAAAGCAAAGCATGCTGCTTATATACGGCCCCATAGCGCTTCAAGCACTCTCTGGGCGGTTTACAAGTTAATTATGCAGACTACACATTGCCCCACCAGCAAGCTGGGTACTCATTTTACTGACCTCGGAAGGACAGAAGGCTGAGTCAACCTTGATCTGGCTACCTGGGATTGAACCCCAGGTCGTGAGCGCAGTTTTGGCTGCAGTACAGTGGTTTAACCACTGCGCCACAAGGCTCTTTACAGGGGAAATTATACTTCACCAAAAGAAGGACATCCCCATACTTCATTTCAAACCACCACATCACTTTTGACACATCACCTCTCATTTCATTTAGAAAATTAGAAGTAGAAGCCTTGAAGTGCTCAGATGGGAGACCGCCTAGAAACAGCAGGGATCCCCAGGTAGGACTCAGAAAGCATCCTGCTTAAAACTACGGGGAGACATTTCCAATCAGAATTGACAATACTGGGGTAGATGGACCAAGGGCTAGAGTAAGCAGAAGACAACTTCCTATTCTCCTTGTCTAAGATGCCTAAGAGTTACATGAGAAGAAGTACTTCATGCAAAGGCAAAAAGACACTCACTGCGTTTGGCTTCCATAAGAAAAAGTGCAATAATAATAATACCACAAAAAATGGAGGCCATGAATTAGTGGAAATACAGTAGGTAATAGAGGAGAGGGGAAAAGTCTAAATGATTATATCAGTACAAGCAGAGAAAAATTACTTAAGGCAGTGAAAATCGAGAATATTTTGAACACAACAGAAACAAAGGCTCAATGTAAGAAACAACAATTTGAAAATAAATTAAACAACTGGAAAAATAAACCACTACATGGACAACACCTGAGAAATATTGATGGAAAGCATGATCATAAATCAACATAGGTATGGCTAAAATTGGGGACCATTAAGAAAGAAACCAAAGGCTTGATTTTTGCTGCACAAGAACAAGCACTCCAAATGAACGTGGTGAATGCTAAGATCCAAGGAATTAATGCTAAAAAGCAAATGTCAACGCGAATGCTAAGATCCAAGGAATTAGTGCTAAAAAGCAAATGTCAACGGTGCTCATGTCTCATCTGTCACATCTCATCTGTGAATGTCCAAAGACTGCACAAACAGATCACAATATTAGACATGACAGAATGGCAAAAATAGTGCACTGGTCATTATGCAAAAAAATGTACCGTAACTTGCCAGCCTCCAAAAACCCATGGGAACATCAGACAGAGAAGGTGACAGAAAATGAAAAGATTTTGTAAGGTTCCTGGATCCAAACTGATAGGTACCTTGAACACAACACATCAGATGTAGCAGTAACAGAACGAAGAAATGTCTGGATCATTGACATTGCAATTCTAGAGGATGCCAGAGTTGAAAATAAAAAATCAGAAAAACTAAGGAAATACAGAGACCTGACAATTGACACATCTGGCTTGTGGATGAAACATGCTTCATTGGTCCCCATAATCATTGCGGCTTTGGGAACAGTAACAAGACATTTCACATGTTACTATAAGAGTTACAGATCTCAAAAATAACACCAGTTGGGAACAGTAACAAGACATTTCACATGTCACTATAAGAGTTGCAGATCTCAAAAATAACACTAGCAGAGCTACAAAAATGGCAATATTAAGAACAGCACACATACTGCACCGATATTTAACACATACTTAGGTTTTTGTTAAAACTTGTATCAGTGATATACCGTAATATCAGTCAATGTTTTTATAATTTTGATTGACTGTGCCTGGTGTTTAATAATAATAATAATGATGATGATGATGATGATGATGATGATGATGATGATGATGATGATGATGATGATGATGATGATGATGATGTGCTGTAAAGTCAATTCTGACTTATGGTGGCCCTTTCCAGGGTTTTCTAGGCAGAGACTATTCAGAAGTCGTTTTTTCATTCCCTTCTTCTGGGGGTGCCCTGGGACTGCAGTTTGCCCAAAGCCACATAGGCTGGCTGTACTTACAAGAGGCAAAAAACAGAAACTTGCTAAAAACTATTTATTTTCAGAATAGCATTCTTCTTTGCTTAAAAAAAGAACAAAACATGCAAAAACATTATTTCTTTTTAATTCGGGGCTGAAATCCTGAACTTTCTAATTAGGGAGTAGTCTCACTGAAAACAGTGCAAATCACTGCAGTGTAAACATTTATAGGATTGCACTAATAGCTTCTTAACTTTTTTTCTTTTTGCAAAATACACTGACAAGCAGCAATGAGAATAAGAAGGCCAAGAATTCATTAACTGCAGTGTCTTGCTCTGTCATTTGCTTTCATTTAAAACAAATCACAAGGATTGTTGAAGCTAATTGCAAGTGGCCATTACAAAGATTTCCTTTCATTTAAGAAGCAGCAGGATAGGCATGATTTTCAAGATGAAAACCATAGAATGGAATCTCAGTTAAAGAAAGGTCTAATGGAGCTTTTCAGACAAACTCACGACACAGTTCGCAAGACCAGCTGTGCAATCCCATCCTCCACCACAGACTTACTACCTGGGACGAGAATAGTATTGCTGGTTTAGACAGCCTTTCGGTTTTCAAAATCTACTTTATGTGTGTGTGTGTTTTAATACAACTTCAAAACCTAACAGTGTCTACTATGAAAGATATACATGTAGTATTACAGAATTATTTTTAATGAAAACAGAAGTGAGTTTACTTACAATTCTTGCATATCAAGACACCTGACATCTGTATGCATGACTCATACTCTACTTTTTATACCAAATATACAGTACTATTCTATGTTTTAAATTTGCTTAACCTTTTGATATGTGGTGCCTCGACTTACGAACATCAATACTTACAACTATTTCGAGTTACGACCAGCTCCAGCTGCAAAATTTTGCTTCTACTTGCGTCTGGAGCTTCAAGTTATGAACAGATAAAGGCAGGGGGAAAAGGTGGGAAATTCAAATTGCTAACTGTAGGTAGCAACGAGGCTCCTTCTTTGTAGCTCTTTCGCCCCAGCAGTTAGAGTATGCAATCGGAAGAGGCTGCCTGGTAAGGTAAGGTGCTGTTTTCTGTTTTTTAAAAACTGTTCTGGGTGTTTTTG